ATTTCAGGAATTTAACAATTCGTTTTGTGTATTTGTATACATGGTTTGTAGCTATCATAAAATATCTTGCAAATGAAACTCTCTTCTTGTTATAAGAAAAGGGCAACACGATTAATAAATTGATCACTATAAAACCTGTGATAACTAGTATATGTAGACCCGTAATATTGATTGCCTATATAATACCGTATTTGCCAAACCTTAAAAATTACACAACAAACTTTAAATTACTATGCATATCTTAATTGATATAAATCCAATTAAATATATAACTGATTGTGAAATCATACAGTCTGGACTTGTGGTCTAGAGCTAAAGTTCGGCAAAAGGAATCAGAAGTTTCTCCCAGACTACACCGGGACCTAACTTTTTAAGACCAGACCAGACGAACCACTTAACATCCTAGAGAAAATATCTATGATATATTAAATACACATTTATTGTCATTAATTGGGTACAACAACGCTTTGTTCAGGGAGTTGTATTGGGATATAGTGCGAGGTAATGATATGTTCGTTTTGCATACAAATTCACTATTGTTATTATGATCTCTACATAATTGATAACTAAATTCCATTACAATTGTCTCAAGTGAAGTTGAAATAATGAGATAACCTCCTGGTAGTAAGACAGCCAAAAGGAACCTGTTATTGAGTTTTAGCCCTTAAAATCTAATTATAATTGTATTTATGCATGTAGGTACATGTCTAGCAGGTAATCAAGAGCACTTATAAACTTCCAATCATCAATTTCAGGAATTTAACAATTCGTTTTGTGTATTTGTATACATGGTTTGTAACATTCGTCAGTGCTAATATTAAAAATAAAGGTGCTAATATGTAGACCTTTGTTTGCATTTGTCATATTTGTATGTTATATAAATATCATGATATCCACGATGAATTTTAAAAGGTATTTAACCTGAATATAATCACTTATCATATGTGTGGTTAAAATGTTGTCTTTATACAAAATTGGAACATGTTTTTCGTGTCAAAAATGACTTTTTTGCCTTGCTGAAGCTGAAAATCTCTGTAAATGTGATATAATGAAAAAACCTTTCTGCAATGAAATTTATAACCTTTACAGTCGAGTTTATAATCCTAAAACAACACCTTTAAATCAAGAATTGTTTCTTAGAAAATATAATAGACTTTGGTGTCATGATTGCAACTTTAAAAAAAAATTTAATATAAGCTTTTGTAATATTTGTCATAGCCGTTTTATATGTTCCAAAGGAGATCCAGATGATCTAGAATATTCTCCAACCGATAATGACCATGATGATGATTATTCAACAACCTCTGATTTACTAAACAATGATCTTGATTCTTCAACTGACCGACCAAATAATGAAAGTTCAGAATTAAAAGTAAAAGTCATTATTAAGGTCAATAATTCTACACCGTTGGCAAGAAAATAGTTTATGTTTTATTCAGATACATTTGATGCATTTCATTATGATCTTACTAAACATACTTGTGAGCGTCTTAAAAATAAGAAAATTGATAACTATAATCTTGAAATTTCATACAAGATAAATGGGTGTGGCCAGCTGATGGCATTAAACGATGAGCATGATTTCGATTTATTTATTACTGAGAGTAAAAATCTAAGTTCAAATAAAATAATGGTGATATATATTACATTAAAATCTAATAAGCGAAAAGCTGAGGTATATAATTTCATATTATAATAATTTAAATTTTTTATATTAATATAATATTAATTATATATTTATAGAAATCTGTTGAAGATAGTGATTCTAACGAAGAAAAAAAACCAAAAAATAAAAAAATAAAGGCAAACTATATACCAAAAGAGTCGAGTCTTTCTTCAGACGAAATCAAATTAGCCAAAATTATTTCACAGATCAGATCAAAATATGAATGTAATATCCATAATACGCCTTGTTATATCGAAGACCAAAACCATCTCCAATTAATGCCTCCGCTTTTATATTTATGGGCACAGGATGTGGTTAGTATTAACATTTATAAGATGATAAATCAGAAAATTTGATAATAAGTTTAAATTTGGAAACCAAATAATACTTGGATTTGGTAAATTCGAAACTTGGATGTTCTATAGAATAGGTGCTAAACTCCACCAAATGTCACGTGAATATATTAAAAAATTAACGATTACTAATTATCGGCAAAGCTTATTTCTTATATTGCTCATCTATTCTATAGAACATCCCATAATAGTACGTACAATACATGTAAATACATGTAATAAATATATATTATATTAATAAATATATATTGATATATATATTACAGAATGCCGGAGGAGCAACAGTAGAAGTCCCACCTTTCTACCCTGCATTCGGAATGGCTTATGCTATTAAAGTCAATAAACAATTGAATATTTTACAACCAACATCTTCAATTTCTGATTCAGTTCCAACCCTTCATGAGTTTTTTGAACAACTAAATAAAGCTTATGATGATGGTAACGATAATTATTTAAAATTGGAAGCGGCATTTGCAAGAGAAAAACTAACCATAAACGGTATTAAAGACTTAAATGACGAATATCTAAAGGA